CTTGTTTTATGACAATATGTTTATCTTTTTGGGTTTTTCTGCATCCCTTTTGATAAAACTGAATAAGTACTTAATTTATTTATTTATTATTATTTATATAACTGGTGTTTAGATAACTACCTACTGCTTTATATTTTCTCTTTTCCATCTCGTTAGAAACTAAATAACTTCCAAAGCATCAGTCTTGGCCAGAATTTTGATCGAAATTTACTTCTTTCTTTCATTCTCTCTTTCTTTTCCCGTAAATACAATTTAGACGTAAAGGTCATATAACAGTTTTCCCATTATTGTTCATGTCTTGTATTTTCAACTGAATTTGAGCTTAGGTATAAAGCAGCTTGCACTCTTCACCGGTTAGGGGGGGGCGCGGGGGGAACTTGTGAGCATATCTAGAAATTTGCTGTTTAAACCCATTCAAATTTCATGAATAGATGGTGAAGAAATCTTTTCCATTTCTGGTCATTGCAGGGCAATATCTTAGACTAAATTTTTAAATCGTTCAAAAATGTTAACATATTCAATCAGTCTACTAAAAAGAATTATTTATCTAATTTATTCAAATGTTGGTAATTATAAGACACCAAGGCCATCACTGACATGCTCTAAAAGGCTATGTTTCCCTAGTGAAAACATTTACCAAATACTTCCAACCTTGTAAGCTAAGGCACAAATCATAGCATAACCATGAAGATTTGTTACTTAATCTCTGAGTCACAGTCCAAAGATCCAAACAGAGTAGCTTCTTCCCTTTTGTTTTATATTGAGAACTAAAATCTTTATTAGTGATTCTTAACACCCAAGATATTAATCATGAAATTATTATAAAGCATTTTCATTTAATTGAACCAAACTCAAATTTTATATGTAATTACATTTCAACCACTAAACCACAACAAATATAGTATGTATGAAAAACCTGTTTTTAATTTAATATTGTAGAACCAATACTAGTAATCTTAAACAATTCTTTTATCAAGCAAATGCAAATGGGAATGTAGATTTCACAAACATTTGATAACAAGTGTCCCTACCCAAAGACTATCACACGCATGCCTCTTTACAGTTTACATTTATTGATTGTATCATAAGGTCTCCACAACAAATGACTTATGAAGATAGGATTTAAGCTTGTTACCTTGGCACAATCTAGTTAGCTAACTAGTGAAATCCAACAAAAAGCCTGTAGGCACCAAACGTACTGCCACTTGCTTCCACATGGTCCTAGTAAATTTAAAGAACATGAATTATTTGGATTTAGGGACATTGAATCTCTACTATACACAGGCAGTCATTAACAGTACAACGTTTAAGTTTTAAGATCAGATTAATGTTCTATAAAAAAAATTCAGCAGGTAAGAATGCGTTATATTGTCGAAAAATAAAGGATATAAAACAAGAAGCTTAAAAAATGCAACCAAAACTTTCAATAACAACTGAGAGGAAGCAAACAAAAAACTCCAGCAGCCCAAGAGTACAAACAACCTCTCATAATAATCTGGGTATGACCCACCCACCTAAGAAAACCCTAATTTTAGAAAACCCAATAGCCTACAATAGGAAGAAAACACAAATTCAAGAACCATTACAACAAAAAAGCTTAAGAAACACCGAATCATCATAACTCAATACAAAATTACAGCCGGAAAAAGAAAAAAAGAAAAATTCAATTGAAACAATGAAAATGCACTGACAAATGTACGGTTTTGAAGCTCACCGAGAACCCTTGATCCCTCTTCTGAGCCAAGTGTTGCTGCACTGAAAAGAAGAGTTGGGTTTCTCAATTCCTAGAGCGATGAAGCTAAAGAGGAGAAAGGGTGGAGGGACTGGCTTAGAAAGAGTTGTTGAGAAAGAGAGAGAGCAATGATGAGAGAGAAACGGCTCTTGCACAAATAAGAGAGAGAATTCAGTGAGGGTTAGGGCAGAGAGAGAGAGGGGTTTGTTGATCGCTGCTGTTTACAGAGAAGGGGGGAGAGATAGGCTGGCATGAATGGAATGTGACGAGGAATTAGGACTTGAAAATAGGCAAGTGTATTAGGCAACAGAAATATGAAACAGTATTTTTCCATGTGCCACCTCAGCTTTTGGGTTAAACACATTTTAGAGAAACTTTGGGACTTTGACTCAGCCTCTAAGTAAATATGGTGCTCTAACCCCATTTATATGTAATAATCCCTATTTATTAATTACTGGTCTACCAACAGTCCACTGATGGCCTTTAAACTTCGCAAGTATCATTATCAGTTTGCTTCTATTGCTCCTTTTTCTTGCATTTGTAGCAACAAAAACTAGCTACCCAAAAACACCCTCTTTAATTTTGGTCACTTTGCTGTGGCTTTTAACTATATAAAATTCAAAAGGCAGGACCTCTGATTGGTTTAGAGCTGTATTTGGTTGGTTCAAAGAACCAAAAAAAAAAAAGGTTTAGCAAAATAAACAGTGCTGCTGTCCTTAGTATTTTTAGTTGTGAGATGCTTGAACTTTCTTTTCTGCCAATCTAATGGGAAATCAATTTGTTTGGAACTCCTTCACCCTTTTCATATTGGTGCTAATCAAAGAAATGCAAACTGATAACTAATGTAGGACAGAGAAAATGAGATAAAAAATTAAAAAGAATGATATTGAAGTTTAGGCGTGTTCCAAAAATCCATCAGGATCATTACTTGGTGCAATTGGATACGAGTTTTAATCTAAGAACAGACTCAGAGTTTGTCTGTCTTCCGTTTTCCTCTCTTAGCAGCTGATGTAAGCTAGACATACACGGAGTAATGCACTAAAAATAGAGGGGGGGAAAATAATTTTGGGCCATTTAACTCTTTACCTCAAGAACTGGAAAGTTAGGGCCCATCACTTGTATATTATTGAAGGAAGGATGCTGACTTTTACAATTTTTTAGGAATTTTTATTCCTCCAACTAGGGTCACATATGATTTTTTCATGCACATGGATATTCCAATTCAAATGCAAGTTAGTGATTTTCGATATAGAATTATAAATATGAATAAGGATTCTGATCCTATTTGTATCTTAATTTGGGATACTTGGAAAAGTAAAGCTTTGTGGTTTTCTGTGTAACTGAATGTACAAAATGATTGTATTTGGGGCTTTTGGCACACATATGAGTTGGGTTGCTTGTTATCTTATGTATATTATGCCTATATATTTAACATTGAACTATAATCTGATGTATGTAACAAAGGACATGCATGGAAATTTGTTTTTTATCCTGTTTAATTATTTTTTCTTCAGCAAATTCCGAGTATTTTAACTATGAAAATCCATGCTAGTGGAAAGATTGTAGGATAACATTTGGGATTTCAGTTCAGTCAACGTATAAAGAAAGCATGAACTCTTCAAAAACAAGCAAACCTAATTACAAAAGAAGAAGAAGAAAAATAAAAAATAAAAAAATAAATAAAACATTTGATTAATTAAGTATCTACTTTATGAAAATTTTGCCTTTGTTGGTGGGATAAAACTGAGTTTTAAAAATTAATTTTGTCACGTACAAGAGAACAACATTTTGTTACGCACATTTCAAACATATACAACAAACAGAGCAACAACAATCTTGATTGCAGAATAGAAATTATATATATATGATTGCATAATAGAAATTATAAGAGGAGAATATATATAAACATAACCTACATGAAAATCAGACATCCAATTGGAAAAAAAAAAAATTATAACACTAAATCAGGACCATAATCATCTAAAAAATAAACGTATGTGTGTTAAGAGGGAGAGAGTACTTACCATATTACTAGAACAACAATAAATGAATGGCAGAAGTGGAGAAGTGCTTCGCTGGGTTACAGAGAGGGCGCACCAACGACGGTTAGACGTGGAGAAGTGCTTCGCTGTTACAGAGGGGGAAAGAGAGAGGGCTTGAATGAGGGTTAGGCCTCAACGGCTACGCTTCAATCCTGTTACAGAGATGGGGGGAGAGAGAGAGGGGGCTCTTGAGGGCTCTTCACGAATGAGATGAGGGAAGGTTAGGGTTCCATGTTCGGTGATGCTGTGTTTGCCTGGGCTTGCTTCCCTGGATTTGTGATGCACGACTGTGTATTTTAGGGCAACAATGCTTAGAGTTGGGTGACTAAATTAAACGGGGGCAATAAGGTAAATGTGCTGGAATAGTGAGAAGGGCATTTTAGGCACCACAAGTTTTAAACAGTAATAATTCATGTGCCATGTCATCAATTTAGTCAACCTCATTTTTAAGAAATATGAGACTTTGACTCAGCCTCTTAGTAAATATGGAACCCTAATCCCATTTATATGTAATAATCCCTTTAGAATAAATCACTACTTTGTATGAGGTGAAATAAAAGTCAGACACTTGTTTTAATCCCCTTTACTTTTATTGGAATAGATGAATGTTTTTGTAATTTGTTTTACTCCCTTATTTAGGATTGTGTGAATCAACAAAATATTTTGGTTATGCTATATAAACTTCTTCTTGCAAAATACGGTAAATACCATTAAAAAAAAAAAAAAAAAAAAGTCCTTTTTACATTCATTTGAAACAATTTGAATTTAAAGTGACAAGAGAAATAAGAACTAATTCGAGTTTCTTATGAAGTCGCGAATAAAAATACCTCAATCAAGGTAAATATTATATCACTAGATCTTTTTTATGTATAAAGATTAAATTTTTGAAAGAAAACGAAAGTTTTGTGTTATTTTATATGCATTATTATTTTTGAATTCTGTTTTATTGGGTACATTTTCTAAATGAATTTAGTAATTTTTTTATTTCATATGAGGTAGGGTACAAAAACAACAGTGATTGTTTTGGAAAGTGTGTGTATATATATATATATTGGGTTTCAATTTAACCCGCAAGAGTATATATATCAAATGAACCAGGTGGGCTCAATTCCATTACAATTCATGTGTAAAAAGAAATCGTTTCTTTACAATTCCATTACAATTCATGACAGAACAGTTTCTTCCATTTCTCAAAAATTTCTCTCTAAAAAATCAATTGACTCGCAATATAGAGGATGTGACATTCATTATACCGCCAAAGAATAAGAGTGGGGATGGTGAGGAGCTGATAGATATCTGCACATGAGCTTTCGTTGATGAATATTCGACTCATAAATCAAAGCAGTCTGCTGGTTTGCCGCCTTGATGGCCCTCCTGGAAAGAGCTTCATTACCCATCCCAACACCCTTTCCACCACCTAGTTAGAAGGACAAGCAAATTATCATATTTAAAACTAAATTAAGGATGCATAGAGAGACCTACATATTACCTATATATGCAATCCTCAAACATTCTTCACTCTCAAGGATGTTCCACAAACAAGGACAAGCTGAATACATATTGTACATCACATTTTTACATGTAGTTTTGCTTTACTGTGTTAAGCTGACCTAAATATTGACTGCTCAAACCAAATATTGAGCCCCGAACAACTATTGACCATTTTAAGGTTGTTAACACTTCCATCCGCACATTTTTTACACATGATGCAGTTTAAAACTTTTTGGCCCCACAAACAATTTCCATTCTAAACAAGTAATTACTTGCTAATAGATATGGTACCTCATCACCTTCATCCGCATAAGCAGTGTTGTCATGCATGGTCTGGGGATCCTCCTGTCTTCTTGCAGGGACACTCATGTGCCATACTTTGAGCAGTCAAAAGTTCTAATTTTTGTGTTTGAACTTCGAGTTTTCGGGACAACTCCATGTTCAATTCCTTCAAAAATAAAAAAATAAAACAACAAAAACAAAAAAAACAAATTACTTACTGAAAAAAAAAAATTTAAATAAAAAAGACAAGACAAACAACAAAATTGTAAGAAAAATTGGGAACCACTAAAAGTAATTTTGAGGTAGATAGTTAACCATGTCATTAGGCTCAAAAACTAAATGATAATGAATCAATTCCATGAGTTCAAAATAAACTTCCCATTAGAGGGAACTCAGATCGAAAATATTTGATTGAAGGACATTTATGAAAGTATATGTATCAATAATTTTCCAAAACCTAGGAAGCAAAGCAATGAACTACAGACAGAGATAGTCAACTAACATCGAAAAGGAAATGGGTAATTATTCCTTCAAATTTCCAATCCAAATAAATAAATAAAAATTTTAAAAAAAAATTACAGCTAACAATAATGACAACCTCCTAGCTGTTTAGATCTTGCGAAAGCACTATGTCAGTATTATAATCAATATTAGCTAAAGTTGTTCAAAATTGCATTAGCTATAAATTACCTTTCAAATCCCATATATGGGAGAGTAAAGAAGTTTAAACCTTTAGTAATATATTACTAGTAATACTTTTTTATTTTTATTTATTCATTTAATTACTTTCTGCCGACAATAGTGTTGTCGAGCCATATAGAGAACTCCATAGTCCATCACCCGATGGCCCCCTTCCCACATGCACCCCACAGTTACCAAGAATTTTATCCATGCTATTTTGGGTACACAATCTCTTAAATAAGCCTTGCAACCTTCCTTGCAGGCATCACTGAAGACTGTTGTGAGGCATCTTGTCCAATGGTACCTTGTAGCCCATCACTATCTCGTTTAGGAGAATTCGATACTTCTACAACTTGATGTGCGGCTATCATCATGATCCACTTCGGGGAACGACCTGTCAGCCTTCTGTGTGACATTCATGGACACTGGCTGGCCGTACTTGTGATGATTCCCAAGGATCTGGTATGACCACTTGGGTCTACTTTGCCACGATGTATCATAGTCCTCCGTCATACATGGATGTATCATAGTCCTCCGGGATCCTATGAAAGCTTGGCTTGGTTTTTAAAGTGCAAGGCTCACCAAGGTGACCTTTCCCAAAGATTTGGACCTGACTGAAGTAGAGACATCCCTTATTTTCCGGAGGACAAATGCCTTCACAAGGAGGCAATGCCATACTAGACCACCTCAACTATTTAAGGCTACCCCCAATGGACTACCCCATGGAGGTCTCCCATTAGACTGACTGCCAGAAGCTTGCTCAAAAATCTTGCCAACTCAGGGTCTATTATATCACCGTAAAAGTACCCATATGGCTGCAATGTTGAGTCTACCAAGTCCTAATCAAAGAGCCACAGTGAATGTGGCAGCATATTATTGTGGTGGAGAAAAAAGCCAGGACTGAGGAGACCCCACATCAACTGAGCTGTGCTTGCTCTCATGTATTATAAATGGACCTCTACCCTCCATAAGAGGGGAGCTTAGACCTGGTTAAGAACCCAGCATCCAAGACCCAAAATTTACTTAACTATACACTGTTTAGGTTCCCAGCAAAGCCTTGACCTAGTGGAGTCGGTGGTGATAGTAATGACCACTCTCGCTCTTTATTAGTCAACTCCCACCTAGACTAAGGCCTCTTCAATTTTACATGTAGTATCTCCATCTCTTAGCATCAACAAGAACTCAAATTGGTTTAGGGGAAATACTTTCCTGCCCATCCAACTGGTGCAAAGAAAATCACTCTTCTACTCATTTAACGCCTTGAACATTGACTGCCTTTTTGCATCAAAGTAAAAAAATACTCAGTTATATAACCATTGACGCTTCATTATGTACAGTACTGCTAAGATTAAAATTACCTTCAGCTTAGAACTTTGAGATGATTCAGTTGACAGGGCTTGCATCAATCCTTCTTTCTCCAACACTAACTGCCGCCACTAATGACTTCATTTATACTAGCATAATGAGTTATCCAATAATTGCAAGTAAAGATGCAAAGTAAAGAGAACTTCGTTATGTACACTTGCACGACATGTATTTACACATTCATCGGACGTGCTGAATAAAGTTGATGCCTGTACCAACAAAAGAACAACACCCATTATCCTAAATTTGAATGGGGCCAAGCAGGACATACATAGGCATGAAATGATATCACATTCAAAGTTAAATCACCAAATTGCTCAGCACATCGATAAATTCATATAATACACGCTCATTAACCACAAAATTTTAATAGGGGCTACCAGAATTTTGGGCACTCTAGTACAAGTCATATCCATTTAAAATCTCGGCTAACAAACTTGATTGGCAATCCAACTAGCCAGCATCATTTTTATTTTTTTTTTTTTTTAAAAAAAAAAAAAAAAAAAAAAAAAAGGGTTTTGAAGACAACACCTGAAAACTATATGTAAATGTTAACAACCATATATTCCAAAAGCTTAAGTTGTTAGAGAGGGTGTAACTTTAATATTTATATCCTTCAACACGCCCCCTCACGTGTGCCTTTTTTTAGTCTAACACGAGCTTTTCAATTTTTTAATTAAAGTAATGGTGAGGTTCGAACTCGAGACATTTGGCTCTGATATCATGTTAACAACCATCTACTCCAAAAGCTTAAGCTGTTGGAGAGGATATAACTTTAATATTTATATCCTAACAAAGAGTAAATATACAAGTGAAGCAAGGTCATTCTTGGATGTATTTTGGATGTTTCGTGAAGAACTATTACCCTTGAGCATCAGAATTCAGATAGTGACTTATCCATGGAAGATGACGGTGACTTATCCATGGGGTCCATTGGGTATGCCTTGTTCCTCTAGAAGGTTGATTGAGGCTTGGAGAGGTGTCTTTGTTGGGGCTCTCATTCGGGATGCTTGGAGGGCTACCCCTCTTTTGGTTTGGTGGTGCATTTGGCTCGAGAGAAATCGGAGATATTTTGATGGAAAGGAGAAACTTATTTCTATGCTTAAGTTCTTTATTATTTCCACTCTTTTTTTGTTGGATTTTAGGAAGAGATTATAGATCAATTGAGGAGATTATTATTTTTTTGGCCTCTTTGAAGGTTTAAGGCGCCTTTTGGCCCTTGTGTTTCTTTGGGTACCGCTCCCCTTTTGAGCGTTTTCAATAAAATCTTACTTATCAAAAAAAAAAAAAAAAAAAAAAAAAAAAAAAAAAAAAAAAAAAAAAAAGAGTAGTTCTAAGAAAAACACAAAGCTAACCCAAATTGTTTAACCTTACATAAAGAAAAAAATTATAAAAATAAAAAATTAACAAATAAGACATTATCTTACATATAGAGGAATGGTATAGGAAAAAACGAATCATTTAGCCAATAAAAATACATGGAAGAAGGATTTTTTTAATTGGAGTATTCATCAAAAGGAATGAACAGCAGTACCTTTGGGAACAACTACTTTGATCAATTACTTGCCATCAGCAGCACATATAAATTCTTTATATGATTCCAGGCTTACAGTTAAGTTTCTAATATGTGGTCTTTATAATGCATTCGCACTGTTAATCTCTTATCTCCATATACTCTTGTTAATGTAGACAAATTCAAGATGGCAATCATTGCCAATAAGTGAGGGACGACCATAAAACCCCAAAGAAAATGCCCGAGACCTGATCAAGGGGAAATATTTCTATTTTGATGATGAAATCTTAAGAAGCATAGACACTTATGACAATATTTACAGAATGTTGGCAACTAGAGATTTTGAACAATCATCATGTTCCTGGATAATCTAAAGGAAAATAAATATAGGAACTTTTTACTGAATTGAATCACAATATAATTGATTGTTCTTAAAATAAAGAAAGTTGAGGGGGTGAAAACATGAGACTGAATAATTGAGATGTAATTGCTCTTAATCTCTTAGTCATCAAACAAAATTTGTTATAGAGATTCCTTCATACTCTTTTTTTTTTTTTTTTTTTGATAAATGACTCCTTCATACTCTTTTTATCCTATTCTTTAATAACATTTCCTACTAGTATGACTAAAATTTGATAGGTAAGCACAATAAGCTGCTAACCTTCTTGTAAAGCCTCAATAGTTGACTGCAAATCTTGACGCTCTTTTTCAAGGCTTGACATTTTCTTTCTGCAAGATTCAACAGGGAAAGGCTATAGTAAAATATCTAAAAAATATATAAGGATAAGTTACGAGGAAATAGCACAAAAATAAACACTCCCTTCTCCTCCTATAGCATGTCATACAAGCAAGGATGATCATATTTATTAAAAATAAAAATAAAAAATAAAGAATTCTCACACTCCTTAATTACAAGCCATTACCAAACTAATTATGCATATTTAAGACGAAAAAATCTCAACTCAAAGATTTATCCCAACTTTTGAGACATGAATCGTGTTTCATCATTTCTCAATTTCTATTCTAGGGTTGTAATCTTAGTTAAACAATATGCTACCATGTCTTTCCTTTCAATCTTAAAAAGGATTAAATTGTGTCTTTTCCTTCCCTAAAATGTTAACAAAATGTCTAGCTTTACATATAGCTCACAAAATGAAAATAAAAGCTTCTTTATAAAAAGCTTTAGGCAATTTCCTCAGTTCACAAAAGAAACGGATTACTCAGACACAAAAATCTTTACAAAAGCAACAAAAATTGGAGGAAATGAAGATGGAGATCACAAAAAAATTTAAAAATTTAAATAAATATAAAAATAAAATTACTTTTAAGAAGGTAATGCATACTTAAATGAAGAAATTTCAGCTTGTGAGTTCTCCAGTAGCCTCTCCAGTTTTAGCTCACTTGACCTCAGTCTGAGTGTCTGCACAAAAATATTAGATAGTAAAAAAAATAAAAATAAAAAATAAAAAAGAAGAAGAAGAAGAAGAAGAAGAAGAAGAAGAAAAAGAAAGAAAGAAAAAAAAGAAAAAGGAAAAAGACCAGACTATGGTTAATATGATGTATGAAAAGGTTTGTTCAACCAGTAAAGAAAAGAATACTCTATTGTAAATTACAAAGACCATTTTGCCCTTAGGGGCTTATTTGGTCTATTTTTGATCTTTTCTTCCACGTTCGTTCTCGTTGAGTTCATTGGCCTCATGGAAGGTCACTTTGGCGTCTTAGAGATGCATTGCATCTCTAGAGACTTGGTTTCTGTTTTCACTTTTACATTCGGATCCGTTATTGGGTCAAATTTCGATTCATCATAAGACGCACTAGCTTGAAAAAAACCAGAGCCGTCACACAATGATATTTCATGCTCTGAGATAGTGTGCCGATAATCCAAATGCAGTTGGCCCGGGTGATCTACCAGACGGTGCCGAGCCGGGTGACGACGATGATGGCACGTGCCCGAATGACAATGATGGAAATGATGGCGACAGCAATGATGGCGCCGACCTGGAGGACGACCCGGGTGAGGACCCATGGGATGTGACCATCTATTTGGGGTATAAATATTATTTTTTTGTTTTTGTTTTTATTTTTTTCTTTGTTTTTTAATGTTTATCTTAATTTTTCAGGTTGGTCGACCCAGTTGGAACCCGATCAGAAACAATCATCTGCTGGTGGACAACCTTGAACTCATAATAGGTTATAAGCAGATTTGGCTAATAATCTCCAACATGTTGAACCGATCATGTAGGAAATTGCCATGCTAACAGAGCAAGTAAACTACTTAAGGATGAGGACAGTTGATTTAATGGAGAAATTAAATGTAGGAAGTGTGATAAAGATGACTTCGTTGTTTGATGTAGTGGATCTGGTTGATTCAGGTGAGAACCACAATATCCCCTCCCATTTTAACCTCAAATTATGCTATTTAATTTTTGAATCAACAACTCTGAGTCTCACAGGTCTCTGAGTCTCACAGGTCTGGAAGGACACAGCTGGCACATACACTCTGCGTTTCTACACAGGTTCATTTTTTTACTCTCTCAGTTTGACATTAGTATTATGAAGTATGGGCTGGGTTTCACTTATAAATTTGCCCAGCCCAGAGCCCAGTTATATTATATGTTCTAGCAATGCAATTTTTATGAAATGTGTGGCTAGGCTTTAATTGTAAATTTGCCCAGCCCAGAGCCCAGTGATATTATATGTTATAGTAATGTAAGTATTATGAAGTGTCGGTTGGGCTTTAATTTTAAATTTTCCAATTTGCCCAGCACAGAGCCCAGTGAAATTTTATTTTCGTCATTTTCAAATTGTGGACTCAGTGGTTATTCCATATCGACTTGATTTCTCTTAAATAGAACTTAAAGCCCGCCAGGTTTTCTTCACATCATACCTTATAAGTAATGATACTATGTTGGCAAATATCTAACACAACTATATTTCATGCTCTGATATAGTTTGCTTCTAATCCAGATGCGATCGGCTCGGGTGATCTACCAGACGGTGCCGAGCCGGAGCCCGGATGACAATGATGGAGATGATGGCGACGGCGATGATGGCGCCAACCCAGAGGATAACCCATGTGACGACCCATGGGATGGGACCATCTATTTGGGGTATAAATGTTAGGACAATGCTCGGGTCCTCCATCTAGGAGGAAGAACTTCTTCCTCCATTTGATGTGGTCCAATATTATTGAAACATGTGTCTAAAAAATAAATTAAAGATAGACCATACCCATTCTTTACAGGTTAACCGTTTTTATTTCCCTTTTCTTTTTTTCTTTTTTATTCCTTCCTTTCTCTCTCCACCGCAAAACAATTCTCTCTCTTCTTCTTATTCTGTTGGTCTCATAGCAATGCAAATCTCAATTAACTAAACATAGAGAAAAAAACAAAAACTCATAATTCTTAAGAAAATAACAAATAATAATCATTCATTGTCCAAACTCGCTCCATAAATAAATAATTATTTTCAACTCCAAAGCAAAATAATCATTCACTTTTTAGTAAAGAGAAAAAAATATCAAAATTCTATAGAAATCATAGAAGAAAAAATTATTATTATTATTATTATTATTATTATTATTATTTTGCCATTATCATGTTTTGCATGAATTTTATTAATTTTTGTATTTATGATTGTCTATATGTAATATTGGATTGCTAGGCATACTACCCTATGCATTGATAAAATTCCATAAGTAATCAAATTGAAAGTGATGAAAATAAAGACAAAAAATTTAAAAAGACCCGTTAACCAAGCAATAAATAAACAAATTATATATTAGATACACACCGAATTCTTGACTAAAACTTTTAAGTTTTTAAAAGTAAATATATATATATATAGTTTTCTGTTATAGTGTTTCGTGTGAAATTATAAAGATTTTACACTTATTGAAGACTATACACCTATGGTATAAAGCCTCACACTAAGGGTTTTAAAATGGAGGCAGCCACAAGCAGTGGAGGAAAGTGGTGGCAGCAAGTAGTGCAGGGTGAAAACTAGGGTTTCAGATAGAGGTTGGATATGGAGATGGAGAGAGATTTGCTTTGTCGTGAAGAGAGAAAGGAAGACAAATGATAGTGTTGTAAAAAAATAAAAATAAAAATAAAATAAAATAAATAAATAAATAAATAACAATTTAACCCCTAAAAAATAGGTAATCCCCATCTTTAATTTTTTTATTTTTTATATATTTTTTTTTTAGACTGACGCATGTTCCAATGGCATTGGATCACATCAGATGGAGGATGAACTTCATCCTCCTAGATCGAGAACCCAAGCATTGTCCTGAATATTATTTTGTTGTTTTATTTTTATTTTTTCCTTCGCTTTTTTAATGCTTATTTTAATTTTTTAGGTTGGCAAGGGTAGATGTAAGGGTGGACAAATTTGTTTTTTACTATACTAATTTTTTGCTTAGCCCAAAAAAAAAAAAATAATAATAGTATTAGCCCACCCCACAATCAAGCCCAAGTCAACTCAGCCACCATATTAAAATCAAGGCCCAAGCCAAATAAACCCAGGGCCAACCCTGACCCAAAGCCACAATGGAGCCTCAAAATATATAGGCCCATGGTGGATGATAGGCCACCAGAAAATATATATATATTTTTAGGGCAAGTCATTTCGGCCTCCCCAATCCCCTCTTATTTTTTGGGCAAACATTCCAGCCTCCCCAATCGCCTCCATCTCGCTTCTTGTTCTCAACTCTCTCTCTCTCTCTCTGCGCAACTGCAAACTACAAAATCTACGAGATTCAGAAGTTCAAAACCCATATGTTTCAGTTTATCTATCTACTGCAAGAATCAAAAGTTCAAAACCTTTTACCTATATCAAAACCCATATCGGCATAACATTTCAGATTGTTCAAAAAATCAAAACCCATATCTTTCAGTTTCCATCGCTCGCTGTTCCTGTTCGGGTTTGCCGTTCTCAAGCTTCAGCCACTGGCGCGCTGTTTCCCAACTGTCAAGCTTGCTCCCCCTCTCTCTGCAACTGCTAACTTGTATGTATGCGTTTTGTTTTAATTTTTTTTCTAAATCAACTAATCAAGGTCTGTATTCTGTAATTCTTGTTTTGCAAACTAAATCCTATTTGGTGAAATTTTTTATGATCTTTTTTATATAATTTTTTTTTTTTACAATATAAAGTAACGAAATTTGCATTGCATTTTGAGGTAATCATTGCAGGTAATCACGTAATCTACATTTTATTTCAGCAAAACAAATATATATATTTTTATTTCTATAACTTCTATTTGAAAATTTGAATCTGGGCATGAAAAAAAAAAAAAAATCTGAATTGGATTAGAAATCTGCAGAGATTGAATCTGTAAGAATTTTTATCAACATGCCAAGCTTTTTGAAGATAGAAATCTTTTCAGAACGAAAAAAAAAAAAAAAAAAAAAAAAAAAAAAAAAAAAAAAAAAAAACCATAACAAGAACTTTGACAAGCAAAAGTACTTAATATAGGGTAAACTCTAAAGTTTCTTCTTGAAAATTAAAATACTCACAAAAAACATGCTTTTTAGTGAGTTCCATAGTGTTGGAAGGGGCTTTCCATGAACTACCTCACACTCTACTTCCACTAGTAGACTCTCAAATAGGATTAGTAAATTCTTCAAAAGAAGAGATAGGGTACTGAGTGATGAATTGTTCATAAATAAATTGGTAATTTTTTTTTATTAATTGCCCAAATAGGATTTTCTATGCCTTAATCAGTCAATTGTCTAAAGAAATATTGTTAGTTAACTAAAATTGAATTAAACAATAGTTGATTTTGGTTGATATATTTTGATTTAGCTGGATCCGCCCATGTGATGCTAATAATGTTTTGTTTCACATAGAAATACAATCTGTGTAATGCACGATTGATATATTCAATCTTTTTGCCATATTTTTATTTTCAAATTTTGCTTTTTGATTTTCTTTTGTTATTAGAATGCAGAATATTAGGATATTGATTTGTTAATTTTGAAGATTATTCCTAAATGATGCATTGTACTTTGTTATTAGATTAATTTAACATAAGAGCTGAGTATAATATGTGCTAATCACACCTATATGTAATCACACCTCTTTCTACGGATAGGTCTCCAACATTTTAACTGAAAGCATAGTTGGGTTGGGTTGATACACGATACAAATACTACTTAGATGGTGGTGTTTTAATTGTTATAAGTGAGATTGTGAAACATATTCCTCACAACTTTTCCTCACAACTTGAGTGTTTTTTTATTTTTAGGGTTAGCATTGGGCCTTAACATTTAGCAAGAACAAGTTTCAAGAAACATGTCTCCTCAGTCATCAGGTAACAAATTATCTACTTTTTCTAAAATTTTAATTGGCATTTTTAGCTATTGGTTATGTTTGTTTATTCATGTTTTACATACTAATTTTTTGTTTTTGTTTTTGTTTCTACACACATGTATATAATATTGTTATGATGTGATACTCGAACAATTTATTAATGGGAAGTTTAGTTTTCAATTTCAGAATATATGTTTTACAAGTTTATTAACGCTTTTAAAACTTTTCCTCTTTTGTCCTAATAATATAGGTCTCTTTTCTGACAGAAGAGAGTTTATGGGAATGGGTGGAGTGGGCAAAAAAAATAGGTCTGTTTTTTTTGCCTAGCTAATTGAATTATATAAATCATCCTACCGTTGTAGCAGTGATTTTTGTTTTTGTTTTTGTTTTCTTCATTTTTTAATGTTAATCTTAAATTTTCAGCTTGGTCGACCAAGCTTTTACAGGAACGAAGTATTCTATGTCTATAATGAGTGCTATTCTTCCCAAGTGGGACAGCAAATCATTGTCACAGCACGCAGGTTAGGTCACGTAGATGTGATTACTGTCGATTTTTTTTACCCGTGTTGAATGTTCATACTTAGTGTTTTATTTCTCTTCATAAGAATAGCCTAGTGTTAGATTTAGAATAAATCACTTTACTCCGTATGAGAGTGAAATAAAAGTCAGACACTGGTTTTAATACCCTCTACTCTCTTAGAATAGATGAATGTTCATGTAATTTGTTTTACTCCCTTATAGTTTTATCCCCTTATAATCAGGATTATGTGGATCAACAAAACCTTTTAGTTATGCTATATAAACTTCTTCCTGCAAAATACGGTAAATACCATTAAAAAAAAAGTGAAGTTACAAATCCGGTATCGACTATAAGTAATAATCACTATTATCTCCGTATCGACTCAAGTTGTCTCAAATAGCAGTTAAGGGGCAACAGGTTATCATACTACCGTATAAGTAATAATATCTGGGAGGAGAAAGCTATGTGCTATAGTGTGCTGATGATCCGAATGACCTACCGGTTCAAGATCCAAATCCGTTCCCGGTACAGAATCCAAATGTGATTTGCCCGGTGAATATTCCAATTGTAGTTGGCCCGAATGACAACAACCACCCCAATGACAACAACTACCCAGATCCATGGGGATTCGACCTTCTCTTTGGGGTTAACTGCTTTTTTGTTTTTGTTTTTGTTTTCTTCGTTTTTTTAATGTTGATCTTAAATTTTCAGGTTGGTAGACCCAGCTGGAGCAGGATAAGAAACAACTGTCACATGGTCGACAACTTGGAGTTGAGGCGGCATAGGCTGGAGGCCGACTTTCCCAATCACCCCGAAGAGGCTGAGCTCATGGAGTGGGAGATACTTGAACTCGGACATCAAGCAACAGGACTATTACTCTTATGGAGTCTATGAGCTTGGAAGGTGTCATCAAGATGACATCAATGGTAGACGTAGTTGGTCTGGGGTAGCCATTGACCATGAGTGGGATCATGAGAGGATTTACAGGTTTATGATGGGTAACATTGTCCCTCCCCAGGTGGGACAGCAAATCATTGTGAGAGCAGACATAGAAGGTCACGTAGGGCATATCACTTAGTAAGACTTTGAAGAACATCATTTTTTTTCCTTTGTTGAATGTTCATCCTTAGCCTAGTGTTACATTTAGAATAAATCACTTCTTGTACTCTGATTGAGGTGAAATAAAAGTCAGACACTTGGTTTTAATCCCCTTTAATTTTATTGGAATAGATAAATGTTTTTGTAATTTGTTTTACTCCCTTATAATTAGGATTAGGATTATGTGAATCAAAAAAATGGAGAGTTTATACTATTTCAACTATAGCCCATTAGTGAAAATATGAACTCACTTCAACTGGAACCATAGTATAACATTTGTATCTCATTTATTCATTTGCATCGCCAAATGGCCAACGAACGACATAATCATTTTCGTATCTCAAATATTCATTTGCATCACCTAAAGAGCCCAATGGTATGACAAAGATGATAAGAGTCCGAGTCCCACTAATTTCATTAGTTAGAACATGTGGAAGAGTAGAAATGACAAATGGTTTAACCACAAGGTTTCATCTTTTGTTGATATTTTATAAAGGTATAACAAGTCAAGTCCACACATATAAGCCCATGACTTTCTCCATCCAGATTCAATGTGATATAAGAACATGTAATATTTTTTTCTCACTCGAACACCCAACGCACTCGTTGCATCAAACCAACTTACCTATCTAGCATAAACCCGAACACTTCCCAAGCAAGCGCTTGGAATGACACTACACACATCCACCCATATAAGCCCAAGACCTTCCTCTACGAACATGATGTGAGACCAAAAATAAATAAATAAAATAAAAAATCCCCTTTAAAACAGGGCTTTTCAAAACTTGCTGAATTCAAAGACGAAATTTATCAGGAACATAAAATCATCAATCAATTTTTGACCTTTGATCCTGAAATGGATGCCTCCCCCAACTAAAAAGCTCGAGTTTGAATATTAATACAGCTTTCAATCCATCATCATCATACTAGTGGGAGCTTTATTCTTAAATGGATTACGTAACCAGAACCATTCGAATTGCACATCTATTCTTACGAAACATCAAGTCCTCATTTATGATTGAACTGTTGATACTGTAAGTAGGAATTTAGTTTTTGAAGAACAAGGGCTACTCTAATGTCATTCTCGAGGGTGACTATAAAGGAGTTATGTCTTTCTCTCCATCTAATGTTTTATAGTTAGCTGTGGTAGAAATTGTCACGGAACACAAAAAACGTTGTTCGAAGAATAATCACAGACAATCACACCAAAAAAAAAAAAAATTCACACACAAATCACAATAACACAAGATATACGTAACTCACCCAAAACTTAAGTCTATATTTACGGAGCATACTAAACAAATTCCACTATGAAAAAGACGAAGAATTACAAGGAAATTTTTTTTTTTTTTTTTTTTCTTAATCTCTCTCAATTGTTCTTTGTTGTTAGCACAAAAAAATCCAGTCAATTCAAGTGAATCCCTCATACCTAAAATCTGGTTAGGGTTATAGACTAAGGAATACACCTTGCTTTACAAGACTTGCCTTATGTAGAGTCTGAAACCAATATGGAAATCATTTTTACAACTTTCCAGGGAACGTTTGCACCCGTGGTATATTGACGTACTGCCTAAATGTAACCGGTTCTATGCATTGTCGCAGTAGCCAAAACCAAATATGCAACACCACACGCGAAACTGGTTTCGTGTAGCCATGTAGACACCAAAATCAGCAAATTTGAATACCTTAATTCTTCACGTAATCATGATCTCTAATACCCCTAATTTCTGAAATTTTATTTAAGTATTTTAATTACATTTTTATTTAATTACATGGCTATTTGCTTATTTGTTTTTATATTAAATTATGTGTTTAATTGATTATTTGTTTTACTTAATTGTTTTAATTGAGTTAATTAAATTATTTATGTTAACTAATTGTATATGTGTATTTTGTTTGAGTTCATGTGAGGTGTTTCTGTAATTGAATTGTTTTTAAATGTTTAATTGTGTTAGTTAAATGATTTGTTTATTTATTTTATTGTTTATAGATTTAGTTTGTAACCCATGGACCAACTAGATGAGTCTTGGACTATTTGAGTGGAATCCTAAATGGGTTGGACCAGTGACGGACCCAGAAAATTTTGTGAGGGGTGCGGACTTTTAATTTGTAGGGGCAAACTTATATAGTGGATCCATTTTTATAATTTCAATTGGGTTTTTCATAAAATTTTAAAAATGTAAAGTATAAAATGCAAAAAATAAATAAATAAATAAATAAAAATTAGTGGGGCCAAATTGTAATTTTAGTGGCTGTGATACCCCCTAATTTCGGAACACGGGTTGATCAAGTCCGCGCACAAAATTAGGGAATATCAAAACAATTAAAGTATTTAAACAAGCACGGATTACAAAATGAAATAAAGAATAAAAGAAAACGCTGAAAGAATCCAATTAATAGTAAATCCATTAATTACTTCCAAATGGTTACAACTCGGGAATCCCGTAACTCAAGGACCCCTTAACCAAAAGTTACTATTTAGAATTTCAACCAAAAAAATACTAATATCAACTGAAACAAAACTAATATCCTACTTTTAAATAAATAGAAGGAATGGATAAGTCCTCCAACCGCGGATCCTCAACCTTGAGACTTGACTTTCTAACAACCTGAAAAATAAATCGCGGGTTAAACCTTACGAGCAAGTTCCCTCTACCAAGCCTCTGAAAACCAATAAACAGATAATCTTTACCAAAACCATCCCTAATTAAGCTTTAACTTTAATATATGACGCTACAAATATATATAAATACTTATATATATAGTACAAGAATCCTATCTGTTAATAGGGCATTAAATTGTCAAAATCACCCACCAATAATTAATTTTCAGTCATACCTAGACCAAGCCCCCCCTTTTTATAATTTTCTCATAAAGTAAACCCCACTCACCTTAACTCCATCCTAAACAGTAATTTAGTCATCTAAACATATAGCAATTTAAATATGCACCGGCAAATCAACCATGCCATTTATAAATATATTTATTTATATACTAGCAATTCAACCATGCTTCCTTCAATACATTTACTTTTACAATTAATTAGCAATTCAACCATGCTTCCCATATATGAAATTTATTCATAACCAATAAGGCAGTATATCAAAGCCTTTGGCAACTCATCCATGCTTACAATTCAACCATGTACTAACTTTAAACTTAACTCTAAGTATAATTATACATAGACTTCACATGCATATAATAAGCATGTCCTTAATTTAATAACCGTGTATCTATTACGATTTTAAATCAACCATACCATACACGAATCAAGTCATACCAAACAAGATTTATAATATTTAATAATCTTAAATAATATATATATACACATATATTTTATAATATATATATATATGTGTGTGTGTATCATACATTCCATACCAATCGTTGACTATTTAAAATCATATCTACATATATATATACATATATACACCTCCTTTCATTGCAAAAATATTTAATTAATTGTATTTATACCACTAAATGCTACTAGGTATCTTAGTAACGCTCTGAGGCTCTCAGAACATCAAGAACACACCCTCTAATGATTAATTTTAACCCTAACAAGCTTAAGATAAATACTGGAACTTCACCGGAGTCTCAAGCAACTTTCCAGGACCTCACACGCATCCCCACGCGCCTCCACGCGCCGCCACATACCCCTAGACTACTCCCACGCGCCTCCACGCGCTTCCCTTTACTGGTAGGCGCGTCCACGCGCCTGCACGCGCCCTCACGCGCCTGAGCCACTCTCGGCGCGTGTTGGCAGCTCCTAATTGGTTGCTGTTGGTTGTTTTGGTACGCCGCGCTACACTGGATAATCCCTCATTTGACCAGACCTAATGA